ATTTCACAAGTTTCATTAGATATTTAGTTATTTGTTATTGAAAAGAATGCATAAGATATAACAAATAATGTCCAGAATTGTGCACTTGAAGGCATAAAAATGTGCACTTGAAGGCAAAAAAATTTGCACCGAAGGAAAAACAAGGTTCACTTGAATGCTAAGTATTTTTTTAAAATTTTTTTTACACAATAGTAAGACACGCATTCACTTGTAGGCACTAAATTGAGCACTTGAAGCTAAGGCATAAAGAGGATCACTAGAAGGCAAGGGATATATATATATATATATATATATATATATATATATATATATATATATATATATATATATAATGACACTAAAAGAAAAATTTCGAAGGAAATTAATTGTGCACTCTTAGAAAGAAAATCATGCACTTGAAGGCTACAAAGCGTGCACTTGAAGGCTAAAATCATGCATTTTAAGAAAAAAAATGGTTCAATGAAATGCTAAGTATTATTTTATTTTTTTTTAACACAATAGTAAGACACATATGCAATTGTAGGCATGAAACTGAATACTTGAAAGCATAGGGAAGATCACTAGAAGGCAATGGAAAGAAAAGATACTAAAATGAAAAATTAGACGAAAATTAATTGTGTACTCTTAGAAATGAAAACATATATGCACTTGAAGGCTACAAAACATGCACTTGAAGGCTACCAAATATGCACTTGGAAGGCCAAATGTTTGCACTCAAAGGCACAAAGATGTGCACTCAAAGGAGAAACTAAGTACTGAAGCAAAACCGATGCAGTCGAAGAAGAGAAATATGCACTTGAAGAAGGAAAATTGTGCACTCGAAGAAGAAAATTGTGTACTCGAATACAAAAGACAATCTAACCTACTTACTCAAAATTACAAATATGCTACCTGCGCGTTTTTTAATTAATATTGAATCTTGGCTGTTGATTTTGGAATGCATCTAGCTACGGTTGGATTTTGTGCGCATTTTTTACCTGTAGAAACTTTTTTATTTAGTTTCAATTGCGAACCAATGCTATTATGTGAACCTATGTACCATTATGCACCGTTGATCTTGGTCGATCTTGTATGTGGTGTATAATGTTTGACCTGGTAAATATACATCAGTGAACCAATGCACAATTGCACCGGATGTACCACTCCTCAGATCTTAACCGTCCAATCTCACATCTCAACAATGTGTAGGGTTCACATGTTCACATAATAGGAATGGTTCACATGATATATAATTATATTGATCAAGAGTTTATTAGTTAACAGATATAATAAAACTAGTTCGACAAGTATACATTAACTACCATACATGTATTAGCATATATGCAATTGAACACGATAATAACAAAGAGTTAAAATAAACATGCAATGCAATTTGAGTGAACCAAACATGCAAATAGGTCATATTCGCTTCAAGTGAATTAGTTTTAAAGAAATTTCTTTTTTTTTTTTTTTTTGGTGAGAAAGAGGGACCTAAGCGGTCCCGGGATTAATAGATTCTTCTAACGGCTCCGTTCCCAGCATCTTTGTCCAAGAGGGGCGCAATGCTGATCGGCGGACTATCCAAGATTGAGGTACCCCAGGCGCCATTATGACCCATGTTGGCAAAAAAATCTGCACACTGGTTCCCTTCGCGAAGAATATACGTGAACTCCTGAACTTGGAGTTGCTTCATAATGGCCCTACAGTCCGAGATGAGCGTGCTCGCTTCAGGCCGTGAGTCACCATCGCGTTGAATAGCATTGATCATAGCTTCTGAGTCACTTTCAACGACAATCCTGAGGAACCCTTTGTTTCTGGCAATGGTAAGACCTTCCCTGAGGCCCCATAATTCCGCTATGAAGCTTGTCGTGATCCCAATCTTAGTCACGAAACCCACCACCCAGGCGCCAGCATGGTCTCTGATCAATCCTCCAGCGCTGGCCATACCTGACGGAGCCCTCCTCGATCCATCTGTGTTGAGCTTTAGCAACCCAATAGCAGGCGGCTTCCACTGTACCCACAATTGTTTACCAAGCATCAGACTGAGATGCTGAGACAGGAACCTTCTAGCTTCCTCAAAATCACGTTGAGCTTTACAGACCACTCCTCCAAGCTGAATGTCTCGATCTTGGAAGACTAAATCATTCCGAGCTTTTCCAGAGGTTCCAAAGCATGAGGGGGAAGCGCATGGACCAGCCCTCTTGATCGTGACTTGAACTGTTACTGCTGCAATTCTGTTTAACCCAGCGACAAATGGGGGAAAAGGACACCGCATTGAAGATCCCCGGCGGTTGACATGCAGTCCAGCACTTTTGGGCAAAGTCGCAGCGTCTGAATAAATGGTTAAGGGACTCCTCATTGTCTCCACATCTCGGACAGCCACCATCGCTAGTCAGTCGCCGCTTCCTCCTTTCCATGTTGACGAGCAACCCATTGTTAATGATCTTCCAAAGGAACAATTTGATTTTTTCAGTGCACTTAATACGCCAAAGCCAGCTGTTATCACCCTCCTCGTCAATAAAATCAAAGGCGGACCTAACGGAGAAGAGACCCGTACCTGAATAAGGCCACGAAAGAGCATCGTCTTGCATGTTTTCCCGGGCAATAGGGATTCCACGTATGGCGTCAATCGTATCAGCCGGAACGATACCCTCAAGAATGGCTAAGTCCCACGACTTTTCGTGTGTAATAAGGTGACTCACCTGTAAATGCTCCATCGTTGGGGGTATACTGATGCCCGGGAGCTCTTTGAGTGGTTTGTCTCCCACCCACCAGTCTCTCCAAATATTCAGATTATTACCTGTACCAACCTTCCATTTAGTCCCCTTAGCTAAAATGTCTTTACCTTTTAGAATACTCCTCCAACCCCACGACACGTTAGGCGATGCGGCATGCTTAAGAAATTCCCATTCTTTACGTACTTGTCGCGCATAGCTTGAACCCAAAGCTTATCCGGGCATGTCAGCGTTTGCCAAGCTAGTTTAGTTAAGAAAGCAGCGTTGAAATCCCGGGCATGTTGCAGGCTGAGCCCTCCCATGGATTTTGGCTTACAAATATCCTCCCAATTGACAGTGTGAATCTTACGCGAGTCCTCGGAATGGCCCTATAAAAAGTTCCTGCAAATTTTATCAATACTATTGCAAGTACTTACCGGTAATGCCATGGATTGCATGACATAGGACGGGACGGTGGCCAGTGATGCTTGAACCAGGACTCTCCTTCCAGCCATGCTGAGAGAATTGGCTTTCCAAGTGCTCAATTTGGCTCTCATCTTGCTTAACACGGAGTCAAACATGTCCTTAGAGACGCATTTCTGCAGGATCGGGATCCCCAAGTAGGAACTAAGATTGGGCGTGATATTGATCCCCGTGACAGCCGCTATACTTTGTTTCGAACCTGTACCAGTGTTAGGAGAACAAAAGATTTGGGATTTAGATGGATTTACCTTTAAGCCCGGGGCTTTCCCAAGCTTGTCAAGGCAGTCCATCATCACTCTAGCCTGATGCTCCGTGGCTTCACTGAACAACATGAGATCATCGGCAAAGAAAAGATGGGAGATCCCAATCCCACCTTTAGCAATTGAGATTGGCTTCCAGGCCCTCAAGGAAACCTGCCGCTGAATATCATAAGCGAGCCTTTCCATAACTAAGTTGAAAAGGTATGGGGCTAGCGGGTCCCCCTGGCGAAGACCCCTACCGGGAGAAAAAGGTGAAAGAGGGCCACCATTCCATAGCATGGATATACTACTTTCTTTGAGGGAAAACAAGACCAAATTAATAAATAATCTAGGAAAGCCAAACTGAAGGAGAGTGTCTTCAAGGAAACCCCAATCAACACTATCATAAGCTTTTTGAAGGTCCACCTTGACTACCATGTACCCTTTACGACCCCGCTTTCTAAGCATAGTGTGAATAATTTCCTGAGTCAGAATCACATTGTCAAGGGTAGACCGCCCCGGGAGGAAGCTATTTTGATGAGGCCCAATCAGCTTGCACATAATAGGTCTTAACTTGTTAACCAAGACTTTAGAAATCGCTTTAAAGGCAACATTAAGAAGAGAGATAGGCCTGAAGTCAGCAGCCGACTCCGGTGATTCCTTCTTCGGAATGAGGGTGATAAAAGCCTGTAGAAGAGATTTCAGCACGGTCCCCGTGTCTAAGGCCTGATTAACCATGGAAGTAAGCGTCGCCCCCGCAGCCTCCCAATAATGTTGAAAGAAAGCCGCTGGAATACCATCCGAACCCGAGCTCCCAAACCTTTTCATACCGAAGATCGCCTGTTTGACTTCATCCAGCGTAGCCTTGCGAACAATACTGCGCGCCTGAGCCGAAGAGATCTTTCAGGCAGCATCAACGGGGGCAATCCCAGAAACACCTGCAAGATTAGCATTACTAAAAAGAGTGGTAAAGAAATTAGTAATATGCATGGAAATGGCCGTGGAGTCCGCCGTCCAATTGCCACCAAGCTTCAGGAATCTGACACGGCTCTTGTTTCTTCTGATGAGGGCGTAGTTATGATAGAATCTGGTGTTTCTATCCCCATCCTTAATCCAACTCATCCTAGATTTTTGGAACCAGAGTGCCTCTTCTTGATCGAGCACCTCGTTAAGATCCTTGACAAGCCGCCTCTCCAAAGCTTGAAGCTCCGCAGAGGTTTGATAATTGGGAGCTTGTTGGATCCCTTTAATACGACCTTCCGAGATCCTTTTACGTTGAAAAATATTACCAAAGCTGGTACTGTTCCAAGACTTACTTTTATCAATCACCCCCGCAATAAAGGTTTCAATGTTGGAATCACCCAAAGTTGCCATGTTTGACCAAATTAATTTATAATCCTCCCTCCCAAGCCAGGCCGCCTCAAAACGGAAAGGACGCGCACTGCTAGGTGGGGGGTCCCCCGCATCACTGATAAACAAAATAGGGTGATGATCGGAGTGAAGCCTGGGGAGGACCACCGTTTTTGATTCCGGGAAAAAGGGACTGTGCATCAAAATTCCAGAGCACTCTGTCAAGCTAGCGCATCTACACCACACGGTTCCCTGCCTGCCTACACCACGTGAACCTAGAACCAGAAGCTCCCATATCAAAGAGCCCACAGCTGTTGTAAGCATCACAGAACCGTTGCAGGGCATTTTGACTCACAGCCTCACTACCCCATTGTTCTTCTGCCGAGGCTATATCATTAAGATCCCCAAGCAGAACCCAATGACTTTGAGTAGAACTATTGAACGCTTTGCAATCCTCCCAAAAACGGGTTTTTGCCAAAACGTTGGGTCTGACATACGCGAAAGTGATCAAGCATTCCGTTAACCCGTCCTTCACACTAGCATGAATTGCTTGGGAGGACTGGCCAATGATGTCAATATTCATCTGACCATGCTTCCAAAGCAGGAGAAGACCACCTGCAAAACCATTCGTCTCAACAAGAAAATGTTTAGAAAAACCTAAATTATTAACCATACCAACCATTGCACCAATCTTGTTGGTACGCAGCTCCAGGAGGTAGAGAACATCAGCCTTTGTCATATTGAGAAGCAACTTGACATGTTTCCTCACGGACATGTTGCCAATGCCCCTGCAATTCCAAGAAGCAATCTTCATTGATTACTGTTAGCAAGAGGGGAAGTTTGATGACCGCCTTCCCCTTGCGTACAACCAGAGCCACTAGCCCCCATATCAAACTCGGGGGGTCGAGAACTTGAGAAGCCCGAACCAACCCCGAGTCCTCCAAACTGGAACACTCCCCCTGCCGCTAAGTGGTCCGACCACCGAAAACCACCATGCGAAGTCTCATGCGACTCTCCAGCCGAACTACGTCCACCACGACCTCTACCCCAACTCCGGCCACGCCCCCCAGCCTGAGACCCCCCACGAACAGAATGGGAGAACTCGCGGGAGCGATTGCTGGGATCATGGGAGTTCGCATCGTAGTCAACCATGTTCTGCTTCGCCTGCATGAAAGAAAACACATTTTCAAGGGAAGGAGATTGCTTACCTTTACCTTTCTGATTCGTTGGTGGTGAACGATCAGTCCCATTGTGGGCTTGAGTCGATTCAACACCTTCACCCAGATTCCTCAAGGCACCAAAGCTGTTCCCCTGTTGCCTATTGGGAGTTTGGTTTTTATTTTTGCTACCAAGCCCGTGCGTGTTGCGGGCGACTTGCTGATCCGCCGGCTTTCTCTGAGCTGGTTGCTTGCTAGCCGCTTTACTATTAGATTTGGCCTTGGGTTTGTGGTTCTCTTTGGCCTTGTTTTTACGGGCGACAATCATCCAAGCACCATGTCGTTCCACTGGTTTGGTAGGCGTGATGACGGTCTCCTCAACGTGCATGGCCTCATGGCTACCATCCCCCGACTGGGGAACTGAAGTCGGAACTGCACCTTCTTCGTTCACCTGTATTTTAGGAAAAGACTCAGATATGTGCCCCACCTCCCCACAGCCGAAGCATATCGCATGGAGGCCTTCAAACTCAACCCTCTGCAGCCGATCCTCCACTCGCACGACCGCAACGAGGGGTTTAGAAAGGTCGACTTCCACAGCCGCCCTTGCGAATCTGCCCCGATCCACCCCTGTTGTCAGTTGATCAAGCTTCAACGGCGAGCCCACTTGTCTGAGGATTTCCTTGACAGCGTCCTCCCGGAAGAATTCGACCGGGAGCCCCGAAATTCGAATCTAAACCGCCAGCCGTTCGAGCCTTTCATTACTAGGGTCGAAGTTAGGTTTCCAACGCTGCGCAACCACATACTGATCGAAGAGTTTCCAAGGTCCATCAAGCAACACATGAAAACAGTCAACTTTTAACTGGAATCGGATGATAAACCATCCCAATCCTAAGTCGATACATTCCATCTTCCCCTGGGGATTCCACAACCGTGTCATGCGTTGTTGGAACAGCGCACGGCTCACCGTTTTGCCCAAGAACTTCACAAGCAGTGCGTTTCTCCATGGTTTTATAAGATCGGCCCTGAGAGCCTTGGAGAACTTGACCACTGGATTCCTTCTTCCCCCTCCCTAGGGACGTGGGGACTATCTTCTGTGATAACAATCTCCTCCTCGAACCAGTTTTCCTCATCTTCCGTTCCCGGGACTTCCGTTTTAAAGGAAGGATGGTCGGCAGTAGCTTCCGCAAAGGAACGTAACGTGGGTCTAAACCGCTCGCGTACCCTCGTTCCTCCATCCATAGTACCCGACCGGTCACCGGCAGCTGCCGGCGGAGGCGCTTCCTTGGCCTCCATGGCTAAGGCAAGGTGCGAAAACTTACCAAAAAAAAAAAGAACCGGAAAACCTAGAGCCGTTAGAGAGAGTTTTTTAGAGAGAAGATTTTTTCTTAAAGAAATTTCTAACAATAAAGGTAAAGCACCAATCGTTGTTTTGAACTTAAATTTAATTAAAAATTTATTCATGCTTCTGTTACATTGCATGTATATATGTTTCTTTGATTGTGTTAGGACTTAGGATCAAATGTTTACCCCTCCCAGCACCTGTCAGTCTTAACCGCATCTCAAATCTGTGATCTGATTCTGATATCACTTGTTAGATAATCAAACGTCAAAAACTAAGCTCACATTGAAGGCATAACTTTATTTCTTTATAAACTGCCACATTTTCAAGAAGTAAGGTGCTAGACTTACCCTTCATTAACCTCCATCCAACGATTTCCATAGCCACGTATCAATTATTGCTTAATTTGGCCTTTTATTAACCTCCAGCCCAACTACCTTTCCAATGTTCCACCATCATATCATGTTTTACTTTTTAATTGAAGTCTTGAATGAATCATTGGATCGGAATATATGCGATAAAAGAATAGTTAGTGAACTAACAATCATTATTGTGTGGACCATATTTTGTCTATTATAAAATAATGTACATTCAGTATAAAATAATGTACATTCAATACAAAAATAATGTACATTGTATTCACTATTCAGGGATTGTACATTATTTTTGCTCTGAGTGTACATTATATTTTATAATGTACATTTAGTACAAAAATAATGTACATTTAGTATATTAAAAATGTACTTTTTGTTATGGTCCACAATAACATTGTGTGGACCATGGTCCACAATAACATTTTGTGGACCATGGTGCACACAATAATTTGCCGTGAACTAATAGCATAAGCATAGCATGCGGTTTATATAAAAAGAATGTATTTTTTTCATAAAGACTAGAAATACAATAATGGTATTAATGAACCAAACAAGCAAGCAAAGCAAAAGTAAAAAGCAAACATAGATGAACTTTTTTCATAAGGCTATTTACTAATGATAGGCATGTGTCCACCCAAAATCAAGCATACATCTCTAAGCAACTACAATATTCCAATTTTTGAAGAACGTAACGTACATGTTTGCGTAATATAAAAACATTTGATTCTAAGAGTTTCTGTATATGATATTATATTGTAGTATTTAGTCAACTCAACAAGAAACAGTAACCTAACGATATAATGTCCTCCCCCTCCCAATCCCATTGGGACGTGTTAACAGCGGCGGCTAAAGAAAATAACGTCACTGCCCTATACAAATCAATCCAAGACGACCCAGAGATCCTAAAGAAAATCAATGATATCCCATTCGTGGATACCCCACTGCACGTGGCCGCAGCAAATGGCAACACCCTTTTCGCCGTGGAAACCATGGCCATAATGCCATCTTTTTGCAAGAAATTCAACAGCGAAGGCCTAAGCCCCTTACACATGGCCCTCCAAAATGGCCACCTCAAAACCGCTGGCCATATGGTAAAACTGGACAGCGGGCTGGTTCGGGTGGGCGGCAGGGGAAAGATGACGCCGATGCACTACTTGGTCTCCGTGAGTAACGATGATGACGCCAAGAAACTGGAGCTGTTGATTGATTTCCTCACGGCGTGCCCTGAAGCTGTTAAGGATGTCACGGTTGATTGCAAAACCCCAATGCATGTGGCAATTGAGTCAAGGAGTTTTGACGCTTTCGGAGTGATGTTTGGTTGGCTTTGGAGGACTGGTAACATCAATCTTTTATACATGGAAGATATCAACGGCAACACTGCACTTCTTCTGGCTGCACAACACTCCATTAACTTTCCTGATGAGGCATCATCATACGCCATTTATACACACTTCTCTACTGCAGGGATATGTGTGTGTTTTTAGCTTAGCTTATATTAATTTCATCTTGTTGGGCGGAGCCTAGTAACCGGTCAATTCCACCCATTGGTGGCTAAAGTATGATTGGACAGAGGTCAGTAGATGACCGAGTCCAGCACCTCCTCTTGAAAATGTAATGGTGTTATAAGGAAATAAAGTTTTACTTTTGCTATTAGTTATAGTTTTTGGTGGTAAGCGCTTGGATCATATCAGAGCCAGAGTAAAAACTGTCCAGTTAAGACTGCTAGCAAGTGCTGGGAGCGAGGGTTTAAGACTTGGTCGGTGTTGGGGAACTATATTGTAATTGTTATACTGAGGTCCACTATGGACCCTAGTCCTAAACGACGTAGTTTTGAATTTTAATTTTGACAGTGACTGTTTGTTGTTCATTTCGCGTTATATGTTTTTTATATACTGTAAAGCATGTGTATGTGTCTTGTGTTATGTGTTTCTGTGTCTTTTGTTATGAAATTATGTACCTTAAGTGTATGGATTCTGTACTTGAAATAAAGTAAATATAACATGCGCTTTTGTGTCTTGTGTTATACGTTTTTGTGTCTTATGTTATGCAATTATATATCTCAAGAATATTGATTATGTACATGAACTAAAGTAAATATAAAACATGTGTATGTGTCTTGTGTTATGCCATGCGTTTCTATATCTCATGTTATACAATTATGTAACTTAAGTGTATAGATTCTGTACCTTAAGTGTACGGGTTCTATACCTGAAATAGATTAGTAGTTGTGTAACCCACAACATATTGTGTGTCTTATTTTACGAATTTATGTCTGTATTATGAAATTATGTGCCTATAGGACATATATTATCTACATAAATAAGATTTGAGAATAAGTAAATATATATATAACATGTGTATATGTCTTATGATTTTTTGTGTCTCGTGTTATGAAATTCTGTATCTCGAGATATTGAATTTGTACATAGAATAAAAAGTTGTGTTGAAACATGAGAAATGAGAAACTACTGTATCAAAACGACGTCGTTTTGATCTGAGTCCATAATGCTATGTGGACCCTAGTCCACAATATAAATTGGTAATAGCTAAGCAAAGTCCAGCCATTGGTGACTAGGGAATTGTTAGGCCCTTCCGCACCCTGGCCCTCAAAATTTGTTACGAGGAAATAAAGTTGGGCATTCCCTAGTAGCTTTAATTTAGTTAGTTGTTGGCGTGCTTGATCTAATACATCTTTATTTATTTAGTCTGCAGAGTCAGGTGTAGAGAGGCCAAAAATAATCCGAAAAGCATTCAAAAAAATCAGAGAGAACAGTAAAGAAATAATAGCCAACGCAAAGGGAAAGGAGGGAATAAATCGCCTCAAATTCTTCCTGTCATCGGAGACACCCATGCAAAAGCTCATCCGTTACTCCGCACACGTCCACGAAGGCATGTCAATGATGATTTGGAACGTGGTGCTAGTGGTGGCGGTGCTGGTAGCCACCGCCGTCTACCAAGCAACTCTCACGCCCCCCGCCGCCGTCTTACACAGCACCGATTCTAAGATTATGTTGACCCCATCTCCATCTCCATCTCCAAGCACCAATAATGTCCACAAAAAGTACGAGCATCATTTCACTCTGTTTGTAACTATGAACACATTGGCCTTCAATCTCGCCTTAGGGGTGATGCTATTTGTGCTCCCCTTTGTTCTGTACAGCGTTTTCCTACACTTGGCTCTGTATTTCATGTCCGTCAGCTTCCTCATCATGCTGCACGTAACCGGGCGGGGAGGAGCACAAGACCACGGCCTCGGTGTTAATGTATATTTCTTTGGGGCTGTTTGGCATTACCTATTGTGCACGCTTCTTTATTGCCTCCTTAAAGACGGTCTTATGGACTCCGTGGTGGATCGGGAAGCCGTATCGCATGATGTGCAAGCTTATTGGGTGTATGGGCAAGGGCATGCAAAATAGTTTTAACCAGCTTCAGCTGCAAATACAGACCGTGGGCTGGTCAGGCGATCCCCATGGCTCCTATTATCGCCAGTAGCTTAGCACTGACATAGAGCAAATTACACTTTTGGTCCTGTGACTATTAGGGGTGTGTTAATTTGGGTACGTGACTTTTAAAACTAACAATTTAGTCCTTTAACTATCATTTTTTTAGCAGATTTGGTCCTCCTGGCCAAATTGCCGGTGGAATTTGGCCAGAAAGACATTCGAATTTTTAAATCAAATATTAGTGGGGGTAATTCGGTCTTTTTAATTGTAAAAAAAATAGCGTTTGATTTAAAAATTCGAACGTCTTTCCGGCCAAATTCCACCGGCAATTTGACCTGGAGGACCAAATCTGCTAAAAAAATGATAGTTAAAGGACTAAATTGTTAGTTTTAAAAGTCACGTACTCAAATTAACACACCCCTAATAGTCACAGGACCAAAAGTGTAATTTGCTCCACTGACATATATATGTCACCACCCCGCCCGGCCGCCCATGCATATACATTTTCATCGTTTTAGAATACTAGTAGTTGCACCCGTGCACGGATATATGATATAGTAGTAAGATTAACAGTAGTGATAAAAAAAAAAAAGAGACTATAATTGTAAGTGTATTACACATTATTGAAAAACTTCTTTGTATACGACATTTTTAATTGTACTTACAAATGGTACATTATCCCCCATATCAAAATTTCTAATCACCTAGGATTACTTAGAAATGATACTGCTACATACATTTGACCATGATTAAAGACATGCTTTCTCAAAAACAAACCCACGTGTGATAATGTTTGCCCTTGACTTTTATTTATTGTCATGGCATAGCGCATATGATAGCATCAAAGGGAATTGCTTTCTTTGGAACTTGAAATTTAATCTTGAATCAGAATGTGTTAACGACATTCAAGGAATTAAAACATTTGTTCCTGCATTAATATTCGATCCACACATGATTTGAGCTTCCAAAACATGATCGACCAACCTTGTAACACTAACAATAAGCCTTGTACCATTACATATTCTCAATGAGTGATCGGTATTTCTCAATGGCATGACAAATGACCCAACTTTATTTCGTTCAGTTTTTTTTTTTTCTTCTAAATAATCAAGCTCAATACTAACCCAATAATGCAACCCATAACCCGAACCCAATAAAACCATATATAAAATGTTTTCTCATAATCGGCCCTAATCCAAATTCTGCAACAGATTTTACACCAGAATTAATATTCTCAGTATATTCTTACACCAAATTTTTTCTATCTGCAACTCAATACACAAAATTCTGCACCAAGTTTTATTTCTTTACTAACATAATTTGTTTTTTTTTTTTTCATAAATTAAGACTTTGTATTATAACTTTAAATATTTTAATATAAAATATAATTATAATGCAAATATTATTTTATTCCACAATAATAAATCATAGAACATCCATTACATTTAATTTTCAGATGCGTTGACCTTGACGATTATTACCTCTTCATTATTATTAATCTATTAAGTTTAACAAATAGTCAAATAATTTAATTACACTTACTTAAAATAGTTAAACAATTTTTTTTTTTTTTGTTTGTCTATAATCAATATCTTTAGCCGAATAGAGGATATAAAAACGTTTTCGAAGCCTAAATATTTGTTGATAGCGACTCTTCGAAATCTGTTTGGCTCTGTCAGAAGCTGTGCCTTGAATCCTAATTTCCCCTGGTTCGAATTTAGCCAAAATCTGGTATTTTGGAGAGCTAATCGTGATACCAATTACGATTAAGTCTCTGTACTGAAATCCTAGGTCACGTCTTTTGTTAGCGATGATTTTTGTGGTTTAAAATCACAGATCTAGAAATATGGTTCAAAGATCTTCGTTTTCAGTTCATAATTTTGAAGTTTAACGATGATCTAGATGTTGAAATATGCAAAAAGTCGAAAAATCTTCATTGAGCTAAGTTATCATATACCCTTACTATTTCTATTTCGTTTACTGTAAATTTATTTATAATTTCATATAGTTATTTATGAGATTGTTAAACTAATAGCTTATTTCTCGTATGATTCAAAATTTGAATTAGGGTTTTTCTAAATGCATAATATTCAGATATTTTTTTTAGCTTAATCTAAGAATTCTGTAGGAATCAGTGAGCTAAGCTAGGGTTGAATGATGAATGTGTTCATGAGGTTCTGATAGAGAGGAAAACGAAGAGAAGAAGGAATGTTGTTACTGTGTATTGAGAGAAGCAGAGAGAACATTACATATAGAGAAGGGAAACAAAAGCAGTTATAACTGCCAAGTGAAAGAAGAAAAGAAAATTACAAAAATATCTTTCTACTCCAATTTTAATCCTTCATCACCCCCCCCGTAAGCTGGGGCATGGATGTCTCGGAGGCCCAGCTTAAGTTGGAACAAGTGGAAAGCAGGAGTAGGCAAAGTCTTAGTAAATCCATCAGCCACTTGCTGTTGAGAAGGAATAGGCAACAATTTTATCAATCCTTCACTAACTTTTTGCTTGACAATGTGACAATCTATCTCTATACGCTTTGTTCTTTCATGAAAAACATGATTTTCTCCAATGGCAATAGCTGAGTGATTGTCACAAGTTTTGACCGACACTAAATGTTGGGAGTTAGACGGAAAACAGAATTGACCGGTAGGTAAAATGCAAAATGGTAGGTATTATTAAATACCGTCTAACATCAAATTGGAATATTTAAGTCTCTAGCTACGTATTTTAGCTCATTTTCTTCAACTTTCCTGTATTTTTGCTCTCTTCTCTACAGTAAAACTTGCTTCTTTGTTCGAAATTAGCATAGGTAACAACATATAGAGTTATTTTCGACAAAGTATATTTCAAATCCATGTATGAGTTAAAAAATAATATGCAGTAGCTTTTAATTTGTGTTTGTGTATATGGACATACACTTTATATATATATATATATATATATATATATATATATATATATATATATATATATATATATATATATATATATATATATATATATATATATGTTGGGAGTTAGACGGAAAACAGAATTGATCGGCAGGTAAAATGCAAAATGGTAGGTATTATTAAATACCATCTAACATCAAATTGGAATATTTAAGTCTCTAGCTACGTATTTTAGCTCATTTTCTTCAACTTTCTTATATTTTTGCTCTCTTCCCTACAGTAAAACTTGCTTCTTTGTTCGAAATTAGCATAGGTAACAACATATAGAGTTATTTTCGACAAAGTATATTTTAAATCCATGTATGAGTTAAAAAATAATATGGAGTAGCTTTTAATTTGTGTTTGTGTATATGGACATACACTTTTATATATATATATATATATATATATATATATATATATGTATATATATATGTATATATATATGTACATCTATATATATATATATATATATATATGTATATATATATATATGTATATATATATATATATGTATATATATATATATGTATATATATATATATATATATATATATATATATATATATATATATATATGAATATTTTTATTTTTATACTAGGTGTATATGGATAGTATACCAGAACATCGAAAATGGATGTATAATCGATTGTTGTCTGGAAAGAGGGGATACACGTATGAGCTTTTAGCTGGTGTTGAGGAATTTGTTAATTATGCATGCACACTTTCACTATACGAGTCAACAAATACAATTAGGTGTCGATGTAGTAAATGCAAGAATAGAGTACACTTATTTGCTGATGAAGTCCGCGTTCATTTGTATAGGAAGGGATTTGAACTGTATTATTGGGTATGGGCGTGTCATGGTGAGCCCATTCTCACAGTAAATGAACAATTTTCAGAGATAAGTAAAGAAAACAATCAATATAAAACAATGGTGTTTGATGTAGGTGGCTCATCATTTATTCCATTCAATGTGCAAAATAACCAAGAAGAAGATCTACATACAAGTGCACAAAACTTTTATGATTTATTAAGCACGGCTAGACAACCTTTATCCCCCTACTTATACTAAGGAAACAGAGTTGTCATATGCTCTGAAGATGATGAATATAATGGCAACCTTTCAACTAGCAACGAATCAAATATTTGAGTACAATAACCATATAATGGGTCCAGATAATCGAGTACCGTCTAGGTATTACGAATCAGAGAAATTGATTTCAAAGCTTGGTCTTGCTCATGTGAAAATCGATTATTGTGTTAAAAGTTGCATGTTATACTATAAGTCTAAATGATAGACAATGTAAGTTTTGTGGTGAGTCTCGTTTTAAACCACGTCCACCTAATTCTACTCGTGGGAAAGAAGTGTCCAAGAAAAGGATGCATTACTTACCTCTCATCCCTAGATTGCAGCGATTGTATGCATTACCTAGTTCTGCTGAGCACATGAGATGCTATTAGGAAAATTGTCGCCAACGGCCAATCAGGTGTTATGTGCCATCCTTCTAATGGTGAGGCATGCAAACACTTTGATAGCCAATATTCTGACTTTACAGCAAGTCCTCGGAATGTCAAACTAGGTTTGTGTGCTGATGGTTTTTCTCCATTTGGTTTAAATGCTAAATCATATTTTGTTGGCCAGTTCTGGTTGTTACATATAATCTTCCACCTTCAATGTGTATGACGGATAAGTGTATATTTGTCTATATTTTCCCCCCTTTCACTAAGCCATTTTGGTTTTAGATCACTCCAAATTTCATGAGATTATGATTAAATTGTGTTATTTTGCAAAGAGCTTGGTTTGGAAAGCATTGGAAGCAAAGATGAGTAATATCATGCACTTTGGTGGATGTTGGAGTCAAGTGGAGCATTATGGATACATTTAGAGTCCATGGGATCCAAGGAGAAGCTAAGAGGATGGACAAAACACTTCCAAGGGAGCCTAAGAGTGGTGCTTTCAATGGTCTTGGTCATTTGGGCAAACCAAAGCAAAGAGAAGCAAGCGATCATGCAATTGCAATTCCCGGCCTGCACGTCGATGACATAGTCTTTGGACCATATCTCGAGCTACAAACATCCAAGTTACGTGATTCTTGTCCAATTGGAAATAAGACTCAAAGGGCTACAACTCGTATTCAGACATCAAAGCCTAAAAAGGAAGCCAAGGTAGTAAAAATCATCCTTGAAGTTGAAGTTCCAAACTTGCAGATTTCACCCAAAACTGACCACTATTTGGTAATTTGACAAGATCTCGGCCTAGGAATGTCCAAATGAAGTGATTCTTGCGCCATTTGAAAGAATACTCGAAGGGGTACAACTTTCATGAAGACATCAAATCCTTATTCAGAAGGAAAAAGGGTCAAAATAAGCCTACAAACTAATATTTTGTTGCAGAGTGCTACACGACACGTCGAGAATTGGCAGTGAGGTCGCAATTACAGTGTGTAAATGCTCGACGCGTCAAGCCCCCCGCCTCTGCTCCTTTTTAACTGATTTTTCACCCATTTTTACTCGGTTTTGAACCCCATTCGAACCCTAACTATTTTCTACTCTTTCATTTCATATTTTAGTGTCAGAATAGGTGTAGATTTAGGTTCTTTATCATATTTCAAGCTTGTATTCAAGGATTCAACACTTGGATTCCAAGATTTAGCATCAATTTCTTTAGAGAAGTGTTCTTTCCCTTATCTCTTTTCCTTTGCAATGTTTATTCTTTACACTTATGTTTTTGTGTTCTTTATGGTATTAAATCATGAGTAGTTAGTATGTTGGACTTGAGTTATGGTTGTATTACCTATCTTGATGCTTGATTTGTGATTATTGCAAAAAGGGGAAGAACTCTAACCTAGGGTTCTTGAGTTTATGAATGGTTTGTGTTTGTATCTTGTTAATGTTTGATGTACACATTCATTAACTTGTTTTTGGAGGATTCCTTGCCTCAACGAGAGTTGGGTGATGAATTCGAGCCACCCCTTGCATAAACCCGATTTTTCCTATGAAAATGGGGGAAATTGGGGATTTTTTATGCTTTGTGTTCTTGAAGAACTTGGAGTTGATTCACCACGAGAGTGGGACAATTCCTTGTTCTAATCCTTGTTAATTTGCTCACGTGAGTGACTTATAGACTAGGATTCCTACGTGCATCCTCTCAAATCCTTGGTTGTGTGATTTCCCTTAATCCTTAGATTGTGCTATGCATCTAGAAGATAATACTTCCTAACTTGAGTCCTATTTTTTTATTTTGTGTTTATCTTTGTGTATATGTGTTAGTCTTATCATTTCCTTAAACTTATATTTTTTTGTGTTTATCTTTGTGTATATGTGTTAGTCTTATCATTTCCTTAAACTTATATTTTGCTTACTTCATGCTGATTTCCTTATGCTAGTGCCTAGTTGCTTGTGATTGCATATTGCGTGCCATATCCCCCAACCCCTGAGGACGACATAACACACCCATACACTCACCATCACTCATTTTTGCTACACTTCAATGACTCCCCCATATACATTTTTAACTTGTATTATGACTCCCTCATATACATTCTTAACTTGTATTATTCCTGGGGAGCACAACCCAAAGGCCAATATTGATGTGAATCTATAGCCTTTAATCGATGAGCTTTAATTGTTATGGGAGACAAGAGTTTTAACTTATGATGTCTCATTAAAACAAAACTTTATGATGTGAGCTATGTTAGTGTGGACCATCAATGACTTTCCTGCTTATAGTATGTTATGATGGCAAACTGCAAGAAAACTAACATGTCCTTATTACAATCATTATACTAAATCTTTTTATTTAAAAAATGGGCGTAATACATGTTTGATTTGATTGTCATCGACATTTTTTTCCAATGGATCACCCCTTTAGAAGATATCATATCAAATTTCTTAGTTGTCTAGAGCAAAGAGTTAAAGCAAAAGTCACGTACAACATATCATATTTCCTAAGGATATGAGGTTCTCTAAGAGTAATTTATGAGTTGAAAGCAAACAGCAAGTGTAACACACCGTATTTTAATAGAAGATTAAAGAATATTTGATTTTCCATGAGCAATTGATGGGAGTTTTGATTTCACAGATAGAGATTGGCTTGAAAATTATGGGGGTAGCATTACTGGCTCTAGAAAACCCAAGAATTGCTCATAATTTAATGCCGAGAGAACTTTACTTGCCTGCCAGAAGATAATCTCCAGAAGGGTGAATTGACACAGACCTTACATTATGAGTATCCTGACAAAATATGAAATCTGAACCTTTATGAAAAGGACTGTAATACCACAAATAAAGATCTATTTACTAAGAAATTTCTTTAAAATTGATGATTGAATTGGAAAAGGAAGCCCAAGAGACCTGACTCTAAATGCTCTTGTTGCTACTGATTTTGAAATATCAAAGAATTTGCAAGAAAGGAAGAAAGCATTTTACAGCATAATCAATGGGAGGTTCCTTTGAATGATAGCAAGAAGTCTGATTATTTGATTATTTCACTTATAATTGAAGAAGTCTCCAGGTATCATTACGATTAAATTATACTTCCTCTATTCCACCTTAATTGCCCCATGTAGTTTTCATATTCTTATGTTTAAATTTTGAAATAAAAAATGGAGAGTTAATATCCAAAATGTCCTCGATTACAATGGTTTTTCTCAATTTCGTTGACCCAATGTAGTCCCATACTTTTGTGTTTTTGCTCAATTTAGTCCCTCGTTTGTTATTCCGTGTGTTAAATAAAGGAACAATTCAGAAATCTCAATATTGACATTTCTTTACTCCTAAACCTACGAAGTGTGAAATCCCTCTGATGGAATAATCACGGAGCGGGATCGGAACAAAGCGATACGAACCGAGTCGGACCCGACACCCACCCGCGACACATGGCGAACCGCCCCGGGGTCGGCCCAGCAGGGGGTCGGCTCGGTGTCGGCCGACCCCCACGAGCTCGGCCACAGCCCCATGGGCTCGGCCACGTGGGCTTGGCCCCATGGGCTCGGCCGAGCCCATGGTCAGCCCCTTGGCCGAGCTCCGTGCTCAGCCAAGGACTGGGTCCTCGCGCGGAGCGAGTCCCGCGGCACGGGCCGCAGCTCCTCCTGCGAACCCAGGGCCCGTAGCGGCCGGGGAGTATATAAACACCCCCGGTGTCCTAATCAATCATCTTCTACCTTCACACAATACTTGTAACGTTATTACACGTCTCAAACCTCTGTAATAGCATTATTCGCTCAATTAATATAATATTTATCGTTTTATCATCCGTTCATCACATTCGACATATATTCGGGTTGTATAACCCGGACCCCCGGGTCACCCTCATTCTTTTACGAATTACTCCCATAATTACTTCCAAACCTGCGAATATAAAATTTGATTCGCAGGTCTGCAATGTTGAAAAAATCGCTAGGCGCCTAGGGTCCGCCTAGGAGGCCGACCGCCTAGCGCCTAGGCACTGATTAATCGGCGCCTAGGCGCGATTTTTGCAACACTGCAGGTCTGGGAGTAATTCGCAAAAGAAAGACGGATTTCACACTTCACAAGTCTAAGAGTAAAGAGAGACCAATATTGAGATTACTGAATTGTCCTTTTATTTAACACCAATTTGACGGAATAACAAACGGAGGACTAAATTGAGCAAAAACACAAAAGTCTAGGACTACATTAGGTCACCAAAGTCGTTTAGGACAAAATTGAGAAAAATCACTATAGTCGATAACTATTTTGGGTATTAACTCAAAAAATAGATATTAAGCACGACAGCCTTATTGGGGCAGTGGAAATCAATAATTGGAAAATAAAAGAGTCTAGAACAGAACTATAGAAGGATATACTGAAAAACAAACTCATTCTTGATGGTGTGATCTTTTGCCCCAGAATCACAACTGCATTTTGAGGATGAAAATCTAAATCATTAATTGGCTGCACAAGTGTCAAAAAAGAAAAAAAAAAAAAAAAAAGAAAGTAGGTAAGCAGGGGAATTCCAGACTCCACAAACACAATGAGATATGATTATTGAAGCACTTACAAGAACATCATAATGGGTAAAGAAAATTATTTTATCCACCTCGAATATTAACAAATATCCACTTGTAGGGGTAACCCCAGCCAAGATGGCAAGGTCACGCTTGTAACCACAAGGTCAGGAGTTCAAATCCTTGCCCCCTTGGTTTGAACTGGTCAGCTATGGGTAACCTAGGCTGGTTTACTCCCTTGTGGTCCTTTACCGGCTAGGGTCACAAGGCGGGGTTTACTCACACTCGAAAGAGTTGTGGTGTTTCCTTCATCATCCAAATATCCACTTGTATAAAACCCAGCTCCACAAATATCAAATTGTTATTAGAACAGTTCAATCACTCAAGAGTCTCAAAGCATTCAGCATACCACTCTTCCATCATGCAGCAGGGAAGAACACTCTTCACACCAACCACATTATGTCATTTTAATGATTGGTTATAGTCAACCAAAATGGTAAACACTGAAACTAAATTTTCTGATTCAAACTCAGAACATAAATAAGGATAATTTGGGGAAATGCAAAAAGAAAATCATAGGGTAACTAGCAATCATTACTCAATGACAGTGAACATCATCTAAACTGCAACAAAAGAATAACTTGTGTATGATCATAGAATGTTCGTATAACTGGCCTCACTGGGCCATCTCTTGAGTCTGACTGCAACATTTGTTTCACTTTTGAAACCTTCACAAGAAGATTGCAGCTCATAAGCACCAAAATAAATAAAGGACAAAATAAAGAAAAAGATGATAAAAAGAACAAAAGAGAACAATACTTCAAAGAGTTTGATTGGCGGGTCTGCACTTCCAGTAGCAAGAAACCTTCCATCACAACTAAATCTTGCACATCTAGCAATACTCTACAATAAATTGAATTATTTTGTTAGATATAATTGCATTAAGCAGGTTTTCAATTAAACTAAGCAGTAAAAACAAAGATGAACCTAATTTTACGAAGCAAAATTTGCTGAAGCCTGAAGGTACACACATACCTTGTGCTCAGAAATATGTCGACTTTCATGTTTTGGAAAATTTTTTGATGAGCCTTTGGTGTCATGTGCAGAACTGTTTAGGAAGATGAACACATTATCAGCTATCTTAACCATACTCAGATATTTAGCAATAATGCACATACTACTCTTATAGATCAAAATTATCAGCTCCAAAAACAAACAAACAAACAAAAAAAAAAAACAAATATTCAACAAATAAAAAAAATTAAATTTTAAACAAAATCATATAAAGAAGCATTTCATCGCGATGGTTCAGTTCAAAAGATTGTAAGATACTACAGTTTGGTGGAAATTATTGCCTAAAATCAACAGAAATTGCCCGAGGGGCTGGTATGGAGCCATATCCAGCAGCTAGAGTTGGATCAAAAGGTGCAGCTGAAGAAACTCCTCTTAACACTTCATCCTTCTCAGCTGCAAGACCCTATTAACCACATGGAACTTCAAGATGTCAATTTTGTCACCTATTTCCCTACTCTGGAGTAGGAGAAAAAAACATAAACCATGAAATGAGATGTAACAATGGCAACCATTAATAAACAATACATACCTTTGCAACCAATTCAAGTATCCTATTAGGAGGAGTTTCAACAGTCAATGGTGTCATTGTAGCTGATGCAACGGCTCTTGCAGCCTGAAAATGAGTATTTTAGATCTCAACCTTCAGACCAACAGCTTTAGTTGAGAAAACACAGAAACAAAACTTATAGAGCAATGTGCAAATCACTCTCTTCCCAGAATATGTTGGGAACAAATGAGTCCACTCACAAGGCAAATCTAGATTTTATCCTAAAGTAAAAATCAATATTACCATGTAGAAAAGGATTTTTTTTTTTTGTTTTTTGGAAAAAGGGAGGAGTACATCCAAGATACTTTATCCGATCCTAACAGTGTTCAAAGCACCAAACACGCCCTTAGTAAATAGATCTTTAATTGTGGTATTACAGTCCTTCTCATAAAGGTTCAGATTTCATATTTTGTCAGGATACTCATAATGTAAGGTCTGTGTCAATTCACCCTTCTGGAGATTATCTTCTGGCAGGCAAGTAAAGTTCTATTGGCATTAAATTATGAGCAATTCTTGGGTTTTCTAGAGCCAGCAATGCTACTCCCATAATTTTCAAGCTAATCTCTATCTGTGAAATCAAAACCCTCACCAATTGCTCATGGAAAATCAAAAGATTCTGTCAAGATGCACTCATCAGTCATCACATCACATCAATAAGCAGGTAGAATTAATTAATATTAAAATGGAAACAGAAATTAAGTTAACAGAGTTCAATTTCTAGCATATGATCAATATCCGAACTCAAGAAAACCCTAGCTCTAGGGCACAACGTTTAGCAATTTAAAACTAAAATTACAAAAACTAAGGAAAATTGAATCTTGGAATCAGTGTTTTAATTCCATAACGCTCTTGATCTTGGAGGCATAGAGGCCATAGACGACGGCCTGACGTTTGGCAATCTCGAGCTGTGCCTTTCCATCTGAGAAGGCGGCTGCAACCAGAGACGAGTTTGAGAGGGCCTTGTTCTGGCGGAAGGCGTCAATGGTACGGCGCTTGGTGTACTCTCGTATGTTGTAGTCTGGGAAGTCACGCGCCGTCCTCAGCAGTGACCGGAACAACGAGAGAACTTGGAGGCGTGATGGCGACGCCATTTTTGCTCCTTTCTTCAGATTTTGGAGAGAGAGGCAGCAACGGGCATCAAATTCTTATTCCTCCGTGTGTGTGTGTATATATATGGGTAAATTTTAAATATTAAAACATTTGAATAAATAAAATATATATAATTATTTAATATACTAGTATTGTACCGGTGCGATGCACGAATATGATTTATGTTAAGTAATGTTTTTAAATATTAACATATATAATAAATTGTAAATCACAACATAATAATAATAATAAAATAAAAATAATATGCTGATGTTTTCAATGACTTCACATTGGGATAAACGTACATACTTTTATTTGTAAACTGTATTTGTTTAATTGTTGTAAACTAATTGCAAAGTTATTTTATTTATATTAAAAGGTTTGGGCATTTATATCTCTAACTAATTTTTTATGCGCATTGCGCGAATGAGATAATGCCCAATGATTTTTTTTTTTTTTAAATAAATACTTTAAAGTATATCAAGACAAAATTCTATTGGAATTGTTCATGCATAGATAATTGAATGTTAAATTTGCGTATTTATATAGGCAATTCTAAGTTTAAAAATGCAAGATAATATAGTCAAGATTGATTATAATGGTCAATAAAATAATTGTATAGGTATGGTTGAAACCAAATACGGGACATAAGGGAGAACAAATAAAAATTAGGGCATAAAATATTAAATATATACTAATATTGAACAGTTAACTGCTGATTGCCAAACAAGAACATTGCGAGAGTTTCCCACTTCAATTTGTTGTGTGATTTGAATATTCTTTTTGTCAATAAATCCCTCAAATAGTTAATATGATTGGCTTAATTATATATATTTTTTATTTTTTAAAACAATTATTATTATTATTATTATTATTATTATTATTATTATTATTATTATTATTAAATATATGTATACCCTTTGGTCATTTTACATGTTAATCTAAACAGCTAATTTTTTTCAAATAACTTTTTACCAACAGTTGATATAATTCGCTGGCCAAATTCGCTAATATAATCCGCTAACGTTAACCGCTGATTGTCAAACAAGGACACTGCGAGGTAATTCTCACTTCAATTTGTTGTGTGATTTGAATACTCTCTTTGTCAGCAAATCACTCAGTAGTTAATATGACTGGCTTTATTAATTATATATTTTTTAATTTTTTCATGATAGTAATAAAATACTTGGTAAATAAATATATAGCATTATTTTGTATTATAACTTTGATATTTAATTTAAAAATAGTGTACAAAAAAGATAATAGCCAATGTAGTGAATATAATCAATTGATGAATTTTTTTGAATGTAAAAATTTTTTACATTGGAAAAACATAAAGACAATATAACTAATAAAATTATTTCTCTTAATTAATTTATTGATAATGAATATTTTTTTTTTTAATAAAGACATTGTAGGGACAATGTAACACCCTTCTTTTTTAAAATCTTAATTACAATTAACATAATCTAAGCAGCAGATAAACAACTTAATAAGAAAATTAGTGGGAATGTCACCGCCACAACCACCACTCCTTGGTGATTGCACAGGTTAAGGGTGAAACTAGAACTAAAGATAAAATAACTAACATCTATAGAACTTAGTCAAAAGTCATAAGGGGAAAAAGACACCCCGATATCTACATCATCAATCAACATCAAAATAACATAAGTCTAAAATCCGATAAATAACATCATAATCAAAACATTAAGAGTTTAGACTTCTATAACTACTAGACTAGTCTAACCCGATCACTTCTCAACGCCCACCTGAAAGGGATTTTACAAACAACACATACACAAATAGGAAAACACCCGTTAGCACGAAGCTAAGTATAACCACACTCAACCTTGTAAAGTACCATTGTAACACCCCCTAAAACCATGCTATTTAAAGCCTTAACACATGCAGATATCTAAACCAAAACATAAACACAGCGGAAGACTGGAAGAGGATATATATATAACAGAGGAAACGGGGTGCTATGCCACGCTCACCCAAAGGTGAACGCACAGGCTACATCTGCATTGTTTAACATCTAAACCAACATAACAGAGTTCTAAGTCTAAATTGGCTCACAAGCCACAAACCATAAGAGGGGAGCTATACTAGCCGGCACTAAACCGCGCACTCATCTAAGCATCACCTAAAAGAAGCATATAAAACATGGGACGACGCCCGGTCAGCGAATAATGCTAGTAACCCACCAATACATGTGAAATATCATACATAGATAAGATATAAGTTTGTAAAGCCATTTTTGAAACGGAATACATATATATAAGTCCAAAACCAAGAGTAATAGTCAACACAAGACTCAAACACTCTCAACAAGAACACGGGAACACATCCCAAGAATACAAAGAACAACAACGACTCACAAGAAGTCTCAAGGTATAATCTATCATCACACAATAGATTAATACCCGACATGCATAACTCAAAGGAATAAGGACACAACAAACGGCAACACATGCCTTTGTGACTACACACGTCACAATAGAAGAACTCACAACAACGGCTACACAAGCCCTCGTGACATCACCCATCACGAGTTGATATGCCTTTCTTATGCCCGATTCCAACCTTATGGCTACCCCTAACCTTATGTCTAGTTCCAACCTTTACCTCCAAGACCCCTGTACACCAAGTCCAACCTTTTCCCTCCGAGGACCGTCGTCCCCTCTCCAACAGAACCACCGATTTCATAGTACACGAGGGTACCGATTTCACACACGGCAACACATGCCTCAGCAACACATGCCTCTCCAAAAATACGTGAACCTTACACAAAGGCCACAGCTCCATAATCACGTCATGGCCACCACGAGGACCACTGCAATACCTTGGTGACTAGTATCCCATACCACTAATCGTGCAATCCAGGTAAAGCCACACACACCACACCTCAACAGTAATCAATCAACGGATCACAACGAAGATATGAAACCATACTCAATCAAGGAATGCATCACAGTCCAACAACAACAACGATGAATAACACAAGTTATCATCAACAATAGGAAGGTACAAACAACACAGACGCTAGCATTTAAACACCGAACTAGCATGCTTATCAAACGGGTAAACCAAACGTAGTTCCGAAGAACACACAAGACTCATCACGGTTCAACGAAACACAATGTTAAACACTTAGCACGATTCACGACACCAAAATCTACATGGATTCCAACCATATAGTTCTAGACATACGAAACATCAAGAAGACACTCAAATAGTTCCATAAAAGAACATCAGGAAGTCAAAAGACCAAATACCGAGTCAAAAGAATCACGGGGAACAAATCCCCAACCTTCATCAAAATACGTACCCGCGAGTGGGGCCACGGGTGGACCCCCACCCGTGGTTCCGCCCGCGGGAACCTTTCCCCAAAACCAACGTTCCCTGCGGGTGGGCGGCGGGTAGACGCCTACCCGCCGTTCCGCCCGCGGGTATACCACTGTACCAAAAATTTTCCCTTCGGGGATTTTCAACACCAAACTCAAATTCAAGTCCAAAACATGCCAAATCTCACCAAATACAACAAAATGACTTGAATCAAAGGAATAGCCAAGCAATGACACACATGAACCCTAAACACAAGCTCTAGATATGCATTTTCACAAGACAATGCATAAACACTCACATTTCATAGCAAAACACATGTAGAATCCAAGAAATATTCATATAGGTAAGCAAAATAGATTTTGTAGAGCATGTGTTACCTCTTGTAGACAAAAACCTTCACTTAACACCTCACCAAGCTCCTAACAAAGCTCACCTTCCAAACCCACTTCAAGAACACACCAAAAGATCATAAAGATTCTACAAAATCTTGGATTCTACATGTGTTTTGCTATGAAATGTGGGTGTTGATGCATTGTCTTGTGAAAATGCATATCTATAGCTTGTTATTAGGGTTCATGTATGCCATTGCTTGGCTATTCCTTTGATTCAAGTCATTTTGTTGTATTTGGTGAGATTTGGCATGTTTTGGACTTGAATTTGAGCTTGGTGTTGAAAATCCCCGAAGGGATTATTTTGGGCACAGGTATGTACCCGCGGGCAGTGGCCTACCGCTGCCCTCCCGCGGGGAACATAAGGCCGGTGGGTGTGTACCCGCGGGCGGAACCACAGGTGGGGGGTCTACCCGTGAGTCCACCCGCGGGGAAAAATATGGTGTTGTTTGGGGATTTGTTCCCCGTGATTCTTTTGACTCGATATTTGGTCTTTTGACTTCCCGTTGTTCTTTTGTGGAACTATTTGAGCATCTTCTTGATGTTTCGTATGTCTAAAACTATATGGTAGGGATCCATGTAGGCTTTGGTGTCTTGAATCGTGCTAAGTGTTCAACATTGTGATTCGTTGAACCGTGATGAGTCTTGTGTGTTCTTCGAAACTACGTTTAGTTTACCCGTTTGATAAGCATGCTAGTTCGGTGTTTAAATGCTAGCGTCTGTGTTGTTTG